ACTTCTGAAGTATAATTTTTTATTGTTTTTATATTTTTCAATATATTTATTTTGTTTGTACAAAATAAAAAACTAATTTTTAACGATACAATAGTCTTCGTCAGGCTTAACATCAATGAAAATTCAGCGCGAAGCGACACGCAACGGAGAAAAATTTCAACATTGGATAGGTTAATATATTTTTTCGTACGTAATCGGTTATCCGAAATATCGATTTTCCGAACAACCCCAGTCCCCGATTGATTTGGATAATCGACGCTCTACTGTATATGCAAATGGATTGCACATGGACTGACAAAACCGCATGAGGAAGGACATGGAGGTCCGATATCACTACAGTTGTGTTCAGTTACAAGTGTAACACATTAAGTCAAGACATCATGAGCGAGTGACCAAAACTAGCTTCGCAATCGACTTTTTGGCTACTCCTGCAATAGTGGATCCAGATATCTTTAAGAGGGGTGTGCAGAAAGGAAACAATATGCCTTACAAAATTTTTAATTACTTGCTTTACTAAGAAAAAATCCTTCAGAAAGGAGTGAAAGTTGCACTCTGTACCTTAATCTACCCCTAGTACTGTAAGATAATTAACCAGTTATAAATATGCAAGAAATATTCTTATCATATAATATTGCATATAATTGTCAGTATAATAAATTTAAAATATTTTTCATTTTTTATAATCCAATTTTTTGTATTTTTTCTCTAAATGTACAGTACTTCATATTTTCAAATATATTATCAAGAAACAAATCTCAACTTATGTAAAGACCAGTTTCACAAATTTTATCTAAGTTAGGGAACTCTTGTAGGTATAGAATCTTGTCTTTACGTTGTCTTTGTTAATACAAGAGAGGAATAATATGAATCATTTTATCAGAAACTATTACAAATTTTAAACAATTTAATTAAAAATTACAAAGTAAGAAATAATTATTTCAGTTTGGTTTGATTTTAAAAGTTTTTGATTCAGTTCAAAACCCTGATTCAAATTACAAATTCATGACAAGTTTACTGTCATTTTTGGAGAAAGTTTCTTTTCCAACCACCTCCTGTACTTTTTCCTTTCAACTGATCTATTTTTGCTTCATAATCATGTCTTCTCTATTAATTTTGTCTCCTTGTCCATTACAAAATATTACTGCAATTAATCATTGTAACAATATTTTATAATTGTTCTTTCTCTAATGATTGTCTCTTGACAATAAATGAATACAAGTTTGTTCTACATGTTAGTATATACAATAACTTGAATAAATGTATTACGAATATTATAATATTCTGATGTGATAAACTCAAATGGGTAAAAAGTATATTATTACACATAAGTTAAATAAATTATTAATAGTTGCTAATGTGGTAGATTCTGATAAAAATAATAATAAAGTGTGCTTATAATATTTTTGTTATTTGATAAATCTAGTACATCAACATTTGATGAATTTAAAATGAGTTGCATATCTGATACAAATAAAAATTACAGTGGTAAGTAGAAAACAGTTGTTATTGAATATTTAATGACAATTTTATTTCATATTTATTTTTCTTTTTTCTTTTCTTATAGCAAGAAATCACATAAATGAAAATACGGTAAGTTTTTCAATAGTAGGAATTAATTATAATAAGAGCAGCTTTAAAAATTGTTCATGTTTTATAAAAAAAAATGAATTATATAATTTTGAATACTAGTAAGTATATATAATTATTATTATTATTGAAAATCAAATCAGTCATATATAATTTTTTTAAATATGTTTATATATATATATATAGTTATATTGCAGATTCATTTCTAAAGTGAACCAATCCACACAAACTTGTTTATAGATAAAAATAATTTTTAAATAACTCACTAATTTATCTTAAAACTAATTCAAAATACATAATGGGTACTAAGTGTACTTGATAGTGTTTAATTCATCATCTTTTCAGACAAAAACTGCACAAAAATTAGAAATAACTTAAATACAAATTAGGTAATAAGAGCAATTTTAATTTGAACTTGGTTTACTTTAAAACTATCCATATATAGATACTTGAATCACATAATTCCAAAAATGTCCATCTCTAAAAACATAAAAAAAAGGAAATTTTCTTTTTTTTTCACTAAACAGAAATTTATATAAACTTATAAACTTTGTTTAACATACATTTTACAAAATATGGAGTTTATAAATAAAGTTTTTATGTAAAATTAATGCATAAAAATTTTGGCTTTATAATGTACTGTACTGTACATACTGTATATATGTGTATATATATACAGTAAACCCACTTAATGCAGGGGATGCGTTCCTAGATGACAAAGCACTAAACGAAACAGCGTTAAATGAGGTCATTTTAACAGAGTAAGTAGGGAAAGGGGAACACACACCCAAAAATTAAAGTAAAATCTGTTTTATTTTTTTATTTTTTTGTTTTATATATATATATATATATTAATTGCTCTTAGGGACTTTGCAAAGAACATTAAAATTTTGGATTAGGTTCCATCACTCTCCTTATCAACTGAAAGTGGTGCTCTGTACACAATTGTTTGATGTTTGTGTGTCTACTATTTAATACTGTTCTCCCATGTTATCTGCAATGTTGTTAACTTCTGTTTTGCACTGTATTTGTATTCTGTTTATATCCATCTACTAATATTCCTTCTTTACTGAGTAGTTAAATCGTGTTTTGGTTTTAATGTATCCACAACATTTATCATAATCTCTTGTATATGTCTAAGTCTACCTCTGTATGTATTTTTCTGTATTCTAATTAACAATTATGTAATCAAAATACTTTTTGGTGTATTCCATTACCTGCCGCCTATCTTATGTTTAGCATCAGTTATTAATATGTATCTATGTATTTTGTATTCGGAATTTTATATTTTGNTGAACTAGTTCAGTGGCTTTCATCTAAATCTTTTCTCATTCCTAAATGAACAGATTTAGATGAAAAAAATTTGTTTGTTTTATTTGTAAAATTAATTACAAATAAACAAATTTGGAAATTAAGTTAGAATCCAAAACAATGTTTATGTAATATTTCAGATGTTTTGTTTGTCAAACACATGGTAGAATTTTCTTTACTCTTTTTTCTCTGTGGACATGAGATGGCCTTATAATCCATACCCATTACAGGTTTGGCCCACAATGAGTGTGGCCAGGTGGTGAGGTATAGGATCCAACACATTTGTGACAGACCCAAAAAGTTCCTAGATTTTTTTCAAGAGTGAATCCAGGGTTCCCAGAATGGTAGGCTGATATCTAAATTGCCTTGGCAATCCAGTTATCTTACAAGATATTTAAATTTCAAGATAATTTTTGATTATCTTGTAGGGCTTGTGATAATTATCTTCATAATATATTAATATTATGAAGATAATTGGCAAATAAATGTTTGAAAGTTCATAGAATTATTGTAATTTTGTGAAGTATCTACATATATTTGCAGGTATTTCAAAAGATTAGTTTGATTTCTTTTTCATAATGGAGAATACCAGAAAGTCTAGAAAATACAGTAAATTGAAATCTCAGTGAATGATTGTTTTCTTCTATAATCATTGCAATAATATTTTCCTGGCCTTAATTACACAATGACTAAACCATATTAAATTTATATTTTCATAATGTAAGCATAAGATAATTTAAATTATAATTTTCATTTGTAACAATTAATATTAATATATTAGACTTCTTATACATGTAGATTTATATTTACACATTTTATTTTCTTTCATAATAAACAGTTATTAAAAGTTTATATGCTTGATAATTTGCAGAAAATATTTTTGTTTTCAATAACATAATTTATTGGAATTAAATTTTAAATACAAAAACTTGAATTTAACATATGACTCAATAAAATTTTTTGATCCAAATAAATTACCTTTATACAAAAGTATTTTTTGTAATAAGTATTGTGCATGATATATTTATTTACTTTGCACCTATTCTGTTTTAAAAAAATCAGTTTTTAATATAATTTTGGTTTTAATTTTAAATTTTAAGCTTTTTAATTACAATAAAAATAGAATTTATTCTAATTTGTATATATTTTATATAATTTATATAAGCACTTTTTGCAAAATTACATTGCATGAATATTTTTGTTTTTGTTATCTAAAAATATAATAGCAAATGACACAAAATCATTGGATTCCCTTGTTGCAGAAAGGAGCAGTACTCCAGCAACGTATGAATGTTTTCGACCTCATCATTGATTCCAGTTAATGAAACCTGTCATTTGCTATCTTCCTACTGAACAAGTGCGAGTGACAATTGGAGTTTTCCCATCAACATTTCAAGAGTGAAAAGAGGCTGCCTTACCTTTGAACACTTTTGTGATCATTGTCAAATATATACCATCATCATATCATATTTTTCATTTGTGCTTAAGCCATAGGAATTATTTTAACTTTTTAGTCAATTCCTAACAGTTTGTGGAATAGTTTAGCAATCTTGCTTTTTAGCATTGCCATACAAGTGCCTGTTAATCATTTACAAAGTACAGTACAGAAAAGACAGCAGTGATAAAGCAGTGTTTTAAGGAACATTCCTGGATCAAAATAATGTTTTGAGTAATATATACAAGCAAATTTATCACCTTCACATGCCAGAAGTAAATGTTTGTTGTTTACAAACAACAACATATAAAAAAGCTAAACTAAACATTTTCTTTATTTTTTTTTAATTTTATGTTTGGCTTTAAGTTTTAAAGACTAGCAGCTTTATTTATTTTTGTTATCACTTTTTAAAAAAAATAAAAAATAAAAGTAAAATGATTAGAATTAAATTTTCTTTTTAGAAACCAGATCTGGGTTTTTCCAGTATAAAAATAAAAAGGAATATTAAAACTTAAGAATGTAGAACAATTATCAATAGCATTTAGGTTATTAAATAAATATATTTTTATTAAAATGCTTGTATACCATATTTCAGTTTAGAATCCAAATCATTAAATGGTTTTTTTAATAAGTTTTCCATCATTCAAGGAATGTTTGTAAATATTATACATCATACAGTTTAAAAAGGTATCATATGATTTTTCTCTGGTGATTTAAAAATTTTATATGAAGTAAAATACTGGTTTTTTTTAGGTCTGTGATAAATCTTTATTCTTAAGTAATCATTGTCATTTTTCATTAATTATAAAGGATATTATCATTCTCAGAACATCGGATTTACATTTTAAATGTTATTTAAAATTTACTATTATGAAATTGTAATTATTATTTTTTACTAGAAGGCTGTTTAAATGAAAATATGTACATTTGTTCACTAATCTTGTTGGGAATATGACCAAATAAATTTGTTTTGAGGAAACTTCAAATATTAGTTAAAATATATACTTTTCATTATTTTTTTTTAAGATTTGTGAAATTTCATTTTCTGAAATAGTACATAACATTTAAAAGTATTTCTTTCAAACATCTTATTTGAAATACTGAAGAACTTGGATAACTCAAAGTAGAAGGGACCTCAAAAAAATTTGAATTAGACTAGTTTGAATATTTGCATTAAAATATGTGAATAAAATATAAAACTGTAATAGTAAATTAATAAACAGTTTATTACAGTATTCATTACAATTACAGTACAGATACTGTATTGCATTAGTTTTTATTAAATTACAGTACTTTTATCAATTAATTTATTTAAAAAGCTTAAAATTTTGGCTGTTTTTTAAAAATATATTTTGCTTGTTAAAGTGAATTCATCAAGTTTGTTGAGTCTGAAAAACAGCATTTCTTTGTATTTTCCTGTTTAACAAACTGCCTTAAAGTTAAAAATTTACAAGAATTATTGTGACATTGTCACAATGCCAAGCTGCAGTTTTTAATAATATTTTTATTTATTTAATTTAAAATATATGCTCTCAATTTCAGTAGTTTCTTGCTCCTGTACATCATACTTTTCCTGATAACAATTAGAATTGTGCTGATCATCTTTCTAACTCCATTCTGGAGAAAATTTGTTGAATTGAAATAACATGACTTTTGGTCCAGACCAGAAGTTTGTACCTGGTTTATCGGGGCCTCTGCCCCCCAAGCTTTCCGTATCTGGTCTTGACTTTCATCTATCTAACTCAATTCTTGAGATTAAGGAAGGACAGACAAACAATGGATGGATGTTAGTGGGAATTTATAGGTCTGCAATTTGAAAATTGCAGCTCAATTAAGTAATTAAACTAACAAGGGGACAGCATGATGTTGGGCTTCACTGAATTTTATCAAACTCAGAGAGGTTATAGTTCATCCCCAATGATTGACATGTGCTAAGCAGTTGAGTACACAATACTCAAAATAAAAAGAGAAAATTCAAGTGGTTTGCAATTTTCCACCTCAAACTTATAGAATTTCTACCATCTGTAGAGTGATCAGTGAGTTGATCAGGACCCAGTGCTTTGATAGTTGTGAGGTTGGTGTTTTGAATTCCAGTGGTATCAATGTGATTTTTTTCCTAAAATTATAATTTTTACTTTATTCTTGGTACTTTCACATTTATTATTTTGTCAGAGAAACTGATTATTTTTATAAAACTACAAATGCACAATAAAAAGAGTAATAAAACAATAAAATGCATCTGTTTCAAGTAACAAGTCAATGTCAAAAGCAATTAACAAGTGCTACCTAGCAGTATCTATTTATTATGGCAACAGTCATTGTTTTACCTAAATGTGTCTATGATTCTGTCTTTGTTCACTAAAGAACAAAAAGATGGCTTTGATATCTCATGCTAACATCAATAGTATTGAAATGTGTTCTGCAGAATCACTGCAAGACAATATTACAAAATTTACATATTGTGAAAGCATCCTTCAAAATCAAGATTTAATTGCAGCTGGGGGTTCTTCATCAATTTCAGAGGTTGCAAAGGTGGAGGGAGAAAAAATATATTAAACACACTGATATTTTCAAATGTGATACTGTATGAATGATTTTCCAAATTAGTTGATGATGATGTGTTTTTAAACATTAATCAAGTTTGTTTTTCAATGACATGTAAATAGTGTTACCACCCATCCAGTTTTCACCTGGACAGTCCGGGAATTGATTCCCTGTCCGGGTGAACTATTAATTTTGTCCGGGAATTTTGTAGAAATTGTGAAATTATGATAAAACAAAGTTCTTGCAAATATTTTTACAAATTTACACTATTTTAACAGTGAAAGAACTCACACTCATTGAAACTCCTCTGCAATTCTGCAATGTTAGTCTGTTTACACCAATGTGTGACACACAACCTGTCATTGACCCCCCCTTTTTTTTTCTTTTTGCATGTATAATCGTATACGTCTCTGCAATATCCAATAGAGCTAAGTCATCTGTACCTGTTCTTTTTTAATTTAGGTTACTCCTATGCAAGTCCCTAGACCAGGCATGGCCATACAGCCCGTCTAATGAATTTATGTGGCCCATGATTAATCTTTTAATATATTAGCTACTCAAGTCCAAATAGGTCGGTGAAAAATTCTGATGCCTAAAAAAAAAGGTCAACAACTACTCACTGTGCATTTAGAGTTAACCCTCTGTTACAAATCTCTTAAGTACAGTGTAGAATGTTGATAAAGCATGATAATGTGAAAAATGTATCTGTAATGTATGTACAATTTAGTCTCTACAGGGTGACACCACAATGAGATCTGGCACCATCTTAAAATCTTCCTAGGGCAGCCTCTGGTTCGGTCCATGGAAAAAGTTTTCTCTCCAATTTGGCCTGGGGGCAAAAACTGTTGGCCACTCCTGCTCTAGTCCCTAACTGTAACTGATTTAGAACCACCATGCGCGTTATTCTTCGCATTGTAAAATGACATTGGCGTGTGCCAGAAACTTCTGTTCAAACAAACCTGACCTGCCGTCCGGGTCAGCGATTTTCAAAAGGTGGCAACACAACATGTAAATCATATTCTTGTTGTAAAAATCTGCATTTATTCAATGGTCACACTGCAGAAATTTTTGTTTCACATGCTTCTACAACAATCATTATCCACAAAACTGTGCTCCTGGAAAACAAAACAGATTGAATAATGTTAATAAAAATATCTTTTTTATTAACAAAATTGGCCTTTAATAATGATAAATTTGTTTACATCTAATCCTCTTCTCAAATAAATTATGGGATTTGTACTAACATATATTTATAAATACATGAATATTCAAAAATAATTTTTTAATAAATATAATAAATTTAAAAATATCAAGAATAAAGTAAAAAGTATAGTTTTTTATTAAAAAACTACTTTTTACTTTATTCTTGATATTTTATTGGTTTTAATATATCTTATTGGATTTAATGTAGTTTTGTATTAAAAAACTACATTAAAACCAATAAGATTTCAAACACCAACCTCAGGATTATGAAACAAACAAACCCCCACCAACCAGTCTATGAATAATAAGAATGCCAATTGTTTTAAGTGATTTGCAATTTTTAACCTCAGTTTTCTCCTTTAATTTTGAATATTGTGCCTTACTGCTTGGCACGTGTCAGTTGTTGGGATGCATTATAACCTCACCAAGTTTGATTAAAATTGGTGACCCCAATGCCATGCTGTCCCCTTGTAAGAAACACAGTAAACACTGTACTCTGGAATTTCTCAATCACCATTGCCAACATTAGTGCTTAAACACATATTTTATCAAAATATTGCAGGTGATTTTTTTCATAAAATTATTGCACTGTTACTTCAAATTAACCAAAAAAAGTTTGAATTAAAAAGGAAAATCTTATGTTACTTTTATAGGAAATTCAAGGATCCAAAAAATATATTTAAATTAACCACAAATTTTAATTTAAAACATTCAAATTATCAAGTTATACTGCATTTAATAATTTATCAATATCTTTGTGATCAAGCTATTCTTGATATCCCATTATATTATTAAGTTATAAAGCATATCATAGTTTTTATATTTGGTATGTTTATAAACAAACTTTTTACTTTTGCATTTTTAGATTAAAAAAAAATTTAATATATAAAATACAAAAGGAATTTTAATTCTATATATTAAATATCAAGAATGGCCGCTAATTTTTTACCAAATTAAATTTAAAATTGCATATATACCATATTTACTTGCATATAAGATGAGGTTTAAGTTTAAAATGCCATTAATTTTTGTGGGACAATATGTGCATTTACATCCATTTGATATTTTACTTGTGATTAAATATAATAAAATTAGAATTGTATTAATAAATCTAATTTTCTTTATTTTGATCTTTAAAGTCACACCTAGTCCTATATGCAAGGTCGTTTTATATTCGAGTAAATACAGTATTTTAAGTTTCAAAAATAATAATACAGGTAACCCCCGTATAACACAGGAGTTACATTCCAAAAAATTGCCGTGTTATGTGAATCCATGTTATACGAAACAAAGAACTAGTGTGAAAAGGGGGGTTAGGTTCCAAAAATTAAAAAACATGCTGTTAAATCCTTATTTAAATCGGATTTATTATTCATTTTTTTCATAGGTAAATTACTTATTTATTATTTTACCAGAGGATTATTCATCATATATACTGTATGATGATCTCAGCATGAGCATCATCAATTGATAACAGTTTTCGGGTGCATTCGTTAATAGCTGTCGCTCTGCAAAGGGGGTCCGCTGCATTTTTTAAGCATTTAGGAACGATGGTGACAGAAAGATGGCGGCACCCACGCTATCAATAGTATCGTGATGGAGGAATCTATAATTCTAAAATGAGCTTTTAGAGGCAAAAAAAGGGTCCCAATTGTAAAATTTAACCATTAAATGGATTATTGTTGAAAGAGCATTCAAAGTAGCCACGAAAACAATTAGAATGCTCGCGCAGAGTTATGCGGAAGTATAAAAGAACGCACCCTTTATTACATTTCATGTTGTACGAGGGTTTTACCCAATTCCCAAACTGTGTTAGAGTGAACCCGTGCTATAAAAGCACCATGTTATACGGGGGATGTTCCCAATTCTCAAACCGTGTTAGAGTGAATCTGTGCTATAGAAATGCCGTGTTATACGGGGGTTACCTGTATATATAACACTTGATAAATCCAATAGTATTAAACTGTATGTTGATAAATTTAAGTACAGGTTTACCACTGAATTTCTGGCAACTGATGGTCCAGCATCTCCTTTAATCTGGACAGAATTACAATACGTAACTGAAA